ATTTTTCCCATCCTAATCTTCGTAATCACAAACAGATTAAATCCACGAGACCTCCCTGAGTATTTGCTTTGTGACTCCAACTAAACCCTCGGCCAGGGTACACCATAACAATACCGAGCACGTTTTCCTCACCTGGATAAAGGAAAGTCATGTTACACACCATGATAATTTTACCCTTGTGCACAACTGAGGAAAAAGCACTCCGTAAAATTATGGAGCAATGTGGATACATTTGTAGCTCAGGTGCCAAAAAAATACGCCTTTTTTGTTTTGATGAGGCAAATTAATATGCCATAGTTTGTTTCACTCTGGCTTTTTTTGATCTCAGGCTTTCTGTTACAATGCTCAGAATTATTTTTTTGGACTATGCAGATGAAAGAGGAAAGGGTGCTGAGAGGTGTCTGGAGTATATAAGGATTACTTGATGACAATAACTGATGCACTTAATCAGAAGGGTAGTTACAAAGACAGCACGTTACTCACTGTTCGGGCTTTCTTATCATCATAAAAGAAGAGCGTAGTTCCTCTGAGTTCAGTCCAATACACTCTAAATTCCTGTTGGAAAGGAGGAAGTGTCAGTTTTTGAACATGATCTTTTTAGTTCCCACAAAACGCTGAAAGTGAAAGAACTGCTAAGAAAAAACTCATCCTATGTTAGTTTTCAGTGTTTTAAAGATAGTTAAAAGAGCATGTATGTATTTTGCAGGCAGTTTATGCAAAAAAAGTTCAGTAAATAATTCTTTACAGGCAAAAAGGTATATAGGCTCTAGGCTGTGTTTTCTAGTATCCTAATTGAGCATGGAACTAGCAAACTTTACTTTTAACTAAATGTTTTAAACATTTGTCAAACAATTTAAAGGGGGTATGTAATGGAAGGAAAATATATTTTAAATGCCACTTCAAAATCTTGCTCTCCCTAAAAGGCATACAAGTGGAAAATAGTGTGAGATGAACATGTGTAAAGACTCCAGTCTTCTGAACAGCATTCTCTTGAAGTGCCTGGTTGCATTGAATTTTGAGCCTGCCAGTTTACTTGCTATAGGGAGAAGATCATGGAGCTTGATGGTAGTCTGACCTATGAACTGGACTTCTTGCATTTGAAGTGGTATTTTACATGCATTGTCTTTAAATTGTGTAGTAATGTTTGTCAATCAACACCATGCCAAGGTAAATATGATTGTCTGACCCTTCTAACTGTTCCCTAATGCAGTCATGCTGGAGTGATGGGAAAGGTTTTTCTGTTTTCATGTGCCCCGGAGAACTACAGCTGTTACGGGACACTGAATTGGGAAGGCAACTCTTGTAAAACAGGAATTCTGTTCTAGTTTTCAGTTTACTTACCTGTTTTGTGTTTGTTGTTTGGTTATTGGGTTTTTTGTCGTTTGGGTTTTTTTTTTTTGAGGCGGGGGTTTAAAACACAGTCACAAAAATTGAGAAAAGAAATAACTTGTGAAGTCTGATAGGTCGTACAAATTAGGGTGAGCAACATTCCCTAGAGTATCCTGTAGGTGATCCTTGCTCCTTACCCTGCTAGCTCGTAACTAGTCTTTCTGGTGGTTTCTGTCAAATTACTAGTGTAAAATTTCTATAGCCTCTGGACCCCAGCCTCTGAGCACTGCAGTGTTGTGTTAAGGTAAATGTCCTGTTAAACCACCTGTCCCTGGCAAGTTAATGAAGGCTGTGAATGCGTGCTGTGGTATGGGGCTGGACGTCATGGGAAATTTTTGAACTGCGCCTTACGAACTGGGCTTTCCTCTCCATGGAAATGTAGCAACGGTAGTTGCCCAGGAGCACTTGTTATTGTTTCACAGCCATGAATATGTTTTTCTCTTGGGTGTCTGGTCTCTCAAAAGTGATAATATACCTCGTCAGTCCCATCTAAGTCTCTTCAGATTGGCTGCATATTATTGCTCTGTCCTGTTAGGTTTTGTTATTCCAGTACGGTAGTTACTGAATTTCAGAAGGAGGGATTGCTCGGGGGGAAAAAAGGTTTTACGTAAAAGGAGATAAATAAAGGAATGTAACAGGGAGCTTTATTAAACTTGCAGGTGTTCTCCTGCTAGATACAACAAAACAATGCATGGAATAATTTTTAGTGCTGCAGAAGAACTAATAGGAAGATTATTAGTCTACTTTTTGTTTCTTGGAGTTCCTGTTTTCTGTGGTACCTGGTTGTTTCTGTGTTTGTGAACCACCATGCTATTTTGATCGTATCTACCTTTAGCACTGCGTGACTCTCATTTTCTCTACTCTGTCTGTGCTTCTGCATCTACAGAGATGCAAGTGTAGGTAGGGTAAAAACGACTTTGTAACCCTAAGTACAGGGATTGTCATTATTAAGTCCTAAAAAAGGGCAATCAGTTTGATTAGGGACATGCTCTGAACATACATGCTGTTGTAACATACATGCTGTTGTAACATACACAAGCATGTAGGCATTTACAGATTTGCATCTCAAGTAGTTATCTTGGGTCAAAAAAATCACTCTTATTTTCCCAGTTAGTCCACATATGTTAAATTACCAGCTTACTAACTAAGAAAAAAAAAGATGTAGAGAATCTCACGTATACTTCAGGTGGCATGTCACTGAAGACTTCAGGATGGATACTGTTCTTCAGTAAAGAGAGGATGTGTCAGAGCAATATAACCATGTCAAACTTTGCTCTTGGTATTAAAAATATTGTATTAGCTTTTCACCATGGTGGTACCTATGAAATCAGTCAAACTCTATCCACATTTCAGTAGATAACAGGAAATTATAATGGGATCCTGGAGATATTGGTGGTTACCTCACATAACTTATTTTACCCCCCGCCCCTCCCCCAAGTAATATGAACAGAAATAACTAGATATCATTATTTCGGTGCAACCATTTGTGTCAGCCAGTGCTGAGAAACATTTACCCCCACAGACGTGTAGCTCCCGGCAATACATTTTTTAAGAAATAATTCAACACATCCACTTCCCAGGACTGTGTGCCTTACCTGGCATCTTGAGTGCCGGACAGACAGGTAACCTTGGAAGTACAAAGGCAGACCCGTGATCTTCTGCCTCTCCTGGAAGATTTCTCGGGGGGCTGGCTGAGGAATTTCCTCAGGTTGTTCCCTAATGCCTCTCAGCATCCTTTGGATCTCTCAGCAGGATATCTGGGTATCCTCTGTTGCTGTGCTCTTTTTTTTCCCCCTCACTCCCGTTGTTCTCAGTCTGCTCTGTATCAGCCTCAGCCAGAGAACTCGCCCCAGTGAGAGGGGGGAAAAGCAGCGCCTTGAAGAGGAAGTCTCTGTGCTTGCTTTTAGGTCAGTGCACGCCACCGAGACTGTGCTGGGTGTATGATCACGGGGGGGAACCAGACTGAACAGATTAAAGGGATCTTTTCCTTTAGGGTTTGCTTGAGGGGAGACATTCAAAGGATGAGCACGCTGGTATAGAAGTGCACCGTTACTGTGGTGGGTGTCACCTGGAGGTCATGGCGGAAAAGCCTGCTTTTTATGGCTTACAGCACTGGACTTTTCATGGGCTGCTGCCAGGGGGGAGACTGCTCTCGGCTGCCTCTGAAATAGTATTTAAATTTTTCATTGGGAGCATGGATTAACTTTGAGACTGCCAGAGTTGAACTTTCTTCAGCAAATGGCTAGGGGTATTACAGGACACTAAAAGTAATATTGGAAATAAATCTACCTATGCTTGTTTATAACTGGCAAGCATAAACCAACTTTGCAACGTGCATGTAGGAAGAAGGCTTGCATTGTGAAAGAGCTAATATACTGAAGCCTTTAAAGAAATTGTGAAGGGAGATGGTAGTTCAGGGACAAGATGTTGGTCCTGATGAAATGAGGGGTGAAATTTCCATCAAGTTCACAGAACCATGATGTTTAACTTAGTTTCTGGCCTTCCCCTTAGCGGTCAGAAAGAACAGAGATGACAAGCCTTGGTGTGTTGATGCTGGTTGCTACTAAATGCAAAGCAAATGTTAAAAAAAAAAAAAAAAAAAGAAAAAAGAAAAAAAAGGCTTATTCTTTGTTGAACATGTTCATGGCTTTTTCTGTTTCTCAGCTGTGTGTAGGCGTAAGATGAGTACATAATTAGCCGGTAAGGTGGTCTGCGATAGATCAGATAGCCACCAACCAACTCTGGCAGAGCAGGGGTTCAGCCCTAGGTGTGCAAGTAAATTCTCCGGATTCTGAACATGGCTGGGGACAGGTACAGGTTCACAGATTTTGGCCAAATTGCAGATTTTTGTACATGTTTGATTATGTTTAAATGGCAGAATTCGACTTTGCTGTTGAATGTTGCAGAAAAGCTAACGAACATGGGCACCTGCACCTTTGCTTGACAAGGCTGATGATAACAAGCTAGCACTTAGTCCACTGTTTGCCAGTGTGTGATAAAAAACATCATCCAAAATTATATTTTTGGGCCGTCTTTTGCAGATACTGTGGATGTTGTGGCGTTACGTTCTCAAGCAGTTGTTTTCGCTCATTGTTGAGTTCTTCACTGATGTTTTAAAGGAAAAACTGCAAGCCCCCGTGGTGGCTGTAGATGTTTTGTAGCGTTTAGAAACCCGAGGATTTGAACTGCCGTTTCCCACGAGGGAAAAACAGCGGGTCCCGCCGCCGCCCCTGAGGGAAGGGAAGCCAAGCCGCCCCGAGGCGGTCAGGAGGCCGGGGGGAGCCGCCGCCGGGT